TCTGATGTTTTTACGAAAATGTTTTTACATTTTTCTGGAGTTTGGTTTCCATGGCTTTAAATTGTGGGTCCTTTTCAAACTCTTTTACTTAGTGGAATCAAGATGTGCTTGTTTAATATTCATAAAAATTGCATATTTTGGATGAGCATCCCAATAGTATTGAATTCCAGTCAGCTAATTGTTCCTCAATTTTTACCTTGTCTGGTAATAATATATTACGTCTGAAACCACTTGGTACCATCTTTTGGTCTATGTAATTACTAAAGTTGGCCAGTTGCCAAAAGCTCCTAAGTTGTTTTTGATAAAGTTTTTGACCTGAAAAAAATGCCTGATTGATGTCATTAACATTATTGGTCTCAATTAATAAAGGATTAGTTGAAAAAACATTAGCAACCTCCTCAGAGACTTAATCAGGGTGGATCACCTTACCCAGAAAATTTGCCATACTATCTGAAAAAAGAACAACCTACAGTTTTAGTGTTTATAGTCTAAATAACAGTTAAGAAAAAAACCTTAACTTGGTGTATTTTTGATTAGTATCTCCCTTAGAACACAGGGTGTTAAAACCCAAATATACACTTAAGAAAAAAAACAAAAAACAAGGGAACGCTACTTCCTACTTCTGTTAGGCTTTTCAGTCTTACAGTGAGAGGGGTGGGGGGGATTAGCCTTTTTTATGAGGTGCCCTCGAAAGCACAGCAGTGTAGTGACAGTTTGTATATATATCTTGTACTCTGTAGATTTCTACTCTGCTCTATCATCCCATTGGGAATTGTTACATTTGTTTTCCCCTCTCTGGTTATTTTTAATTATTAAAGGGACACTATAGTCACCTGAACAACTTCAGCTTAATGAGGTTGTTCAGGTGAGAACTATAACTCCCTGCAGCCTCTCTCATGTAAACACTGTATTTTCTGAGAAAATACAGTGTTTACATTGAAAGCTAGGAACACCTCCAGTTGCAGTTACTCAGAGTGAACCAGAGGGACATCGGAGTTGATGGAGGCATAATATGCCTCCATCCACTCAGATCTGCTCTCAGCAGAGCACAGGGCAGCACTGTGCACAGCATCCTGCATGCAGACACTGAACTTTCCTCATAGAGATTAATTGATTCAATTCATCTCTATGAGGGGATGCTGATTGGTCAGGGCTGTGTTTGAATCATGCTGGCTCTGCCCCTGATCTGCCTCTTTGTCAGTGTCAGCCAATCCTATGGGGAAGCATTGTGATTGGATCAGGCTACCACTTCTGATGATGCCAGCAGACTGTTTGTTTTTCTGAGTCTAACAGCATGCAGATTTACAGCTTCTGGCTTGAATACAGTAAGATCTTTACTATATTTATGGAGGCATGAGGGGCCCAGGGGGGCTAGATGGTGGTGTTAACACTATAGGGTCAGGAATACATGTTTGTGTTCCTGACCGTATAGTGATCCTTTAACATTCACTCCATCGCTACAATATTATTATTTTACATATTGTAACTTTCCAGTCTGACTGACTCATATAGTCCACAGTTTAAGAGTGGACAGTCTCTGGATTACTTTCTTTATTATTATAAATATATTTTTCAATTTCAATTACCTCATTTCTGTTTTTTCATTTTTTCGTTATCAATTAATTTTTTCTTCTTCCTTTATTTATTAATACTGTAAGATTTATCCCAATATAGATACTAATTTAATTATCTTTATTGCGTTATAGGTTTTTAATATCTTTATACCGATTAAACGTTTTGTTTTATTAGGGCTACTCTTTGTCCATGAGGGTTTATCCCTTGTATGGTTTCTGTGTTTCTTTTTTTCAAAGGGATTTGGGATAGTGTACAAACTTTTCATCTATGTTTTTTAATGCATGTATTGGGGCTGATGTATACTATAGTCATTACCACTGCCCAGGAGTAGTGGGAATTTGAGCACAGTGCTTAATTCTGTATGTTTAGATATTTTGAAATGCCCAACTTTCCTTGCTGTAAAGTCATTCATGTTTTAGATCACTTTATATTCAGCCCTTACTTATTCTTTGTAGCTCAATTATATGACAGATACAATGGCTTACACAGGGTCCTAAACAGTTACAAGGACATTGTGCCAAACTCAAGCTAGTCATAAATCTTTTCTAATAATGATATTGTAAATTTGAGCTGATCATCATAGCATATCGGATCGTAGTACATAGCAGCTGAATATATAATGAGCTTAAAAATTTCTCATCTGCATAGAATGCATAATAATTACAGATATATATCACTCCAGTGTATATGTCATTTGCTAATTTATTGTCATTTGTGTAATAGCTTTTAGCCTGCCAATATATTTATTACCTTGCAAACAAATCAACCAAACTAATCATATATTTTGGCTTAATTTACAGTAGCACATGCAGGGATTCATTTCTTAGGTAGAGCAGAAATCTTTATATATAAAAGCTTCAGATTATACACATTGACATTTTTTTCATTAAGCTTGGAATTGAGGAGACTTGACAAGGCAAATGCAAGTTGTAAGGCTCAGTGGTTTACGTGAAAAGTCATTGTAGACATTTTACACTTTGGCTATCTTGGCCAAATATTTCAAATTTCCTTAGCAGTTGTTTTCAATTTCCAATTTTAATTAAAAATAAAATTCTTGAGGTTCATTCACTAAATATGTTTGGCGAATACCAACTTGGAATTGCGAACTACAGGCCAAGATTATTTAAACAAAAAAGAACTTAAAAAGTAGAATTCATCTGCTAGACGGCATGATAGCCTTATTGTTCTGGTTTGGACATTAGTTTCTTCAGTGACTGTAGACCACCTCTTCCACACACCTTTTCTTTCTTTTCACTCATCTTTTCTCTCTAACCCCATTCCAAATGGTCATAATTGAATGTTGCTCTCAGTTGTCCCAATGTTCATTTTATTTCCCTTATATCTATGTATTTCCTAAAATGTGCACAAATATTTACTAGGCCATAAAACCTAACTGTAACGGACCGTTTTGCACAAAAGGGGTAAAAACCGTTTAGGCGATCGGCCCCCTTTCCAGAGATGCAGGCACAGCTACTGCAGAACACCAAACACACGAACCGCCAATAAGTGAATGCTCCAAACTCCCGAACGGCATCCAATATAGCACTCCAAACACACGAACAGGAACCATACGAATCGCTGCTAGCAGACGAATAGGAAAAGCATCCAAGCGGCTTACACTCCTAGCAATCAGTCTCTATCAGCATTCAGTAAATCCCCCCAAAGACGAGACAAGGCTCCGTGTTGAGGGTCAAGCAGTGGTCTGTTTAATGAGGGCTACCTGCCCAGTATTTATGCAGGTCTCCCACCTGGTGGACACTCCCCTAGGGGACCAAATGGGAGACTGTGACAAGGGACAGACAAGCAGACAAATAGGACACACAGTCACAGTATATTCCCACAATGCATCCTGGCTTCCTCCCCTCTGCCCTGGGAGATAATTGAGAAGTAATTCAATTATCTCCCAAGACAAAGGCAAATCGCCATTATGCACACAAATTACTATTAAAATACACCATGTAAGACACATTACATTAAAACTATACATTTAACATATCCCCAGATAGCTCAGGTCTGAGCGCACATTATTAAGCGAATGGCGCTCAGACCACATGAATACAGTGTAATCGCCATGGAGCCAAAGTCTTTGCACAGTCAGTTTCATGCGAATGGGCTCCATGGGATTCCTATCTGGGGTATAACATAGACAAGTAAAACTACTGAACACCGGCCGTTCGTGTACTTCCACCGAACAAGAAGGGAGGTCGGCAGCTTCAGCGGTGTTTGTGCAAAACTGTGTCCGATTTTAGTTCCATGAATTAAGCGTCGAACACCGCTGTGCATTCGTATGTTTAAAATGGCCGCGACCTCGTGTTCGGGATACGAATGGCGGCCACCCAGCATTCGTCAATTAAGCTGCGGTTTTCCGCAGCTTCAGGGATGTTAATAGCCGAAACACTCCGGCTCCAAGGTGGTCTATCCATTCGTGCGGTTGTTCAGTAGATTGAATCTACCGAACAACCGGCAGAAAAGCACGAATAAAGCTTTTCTGCAGGCGAAACAAAGTCTTTTAACATGGGGCCATAGTCCAAAGGCAGCAGGCGAGCAACCAGGCGAGCAACCAGGCTTCTCCAATGCAATGTGGCGAGATTGTTCTCGTCACACTAACCTTTTGTTAATTGCAGAACTGGCACTTTTTTGACTAGCACTTACTTTCTTGTTAGCAATTGGCCTTGCCTAGTCAAGCACTTTCCGTAGATAAACATTGTGAAACAAGATCACGTCCTAAGCTTCCCAAAAAGATAGTTTTATTACTATTTAGGGATTCATGAAAACAAATCATGCAGTGGGGCACTATTAGCAAAAGTGCAATTTTTGAGCATTAAAGAGACACTATAAGCACCAAAACTATGTTTAGCTTAATGATGTGCTTTTTATAGTTGTGCACACAAAAATTATTTTGGCCTCACCATTTTGCCCAAAAGTAAAAAAAAACTATTAACAACCGAATTTTGGCTATATGACAGCTCAGTTCATTCTAATTTCATTAATGAAAAAAGGTTTGTACAAACAACTCAGGTGAACCAAAAGGGGACAAATATTGGGCCAAATATAAATATTATGTATGTATTTTGCAGTACATGGAAAGGTGCATTAACCTACCATTTGGTTCGCAGGTCAAGTGAGATAAAGTAGCCAAAAGAAGGAAATATAAGAGAAGCAGTAAATAAACAAATGTATCTTTTTTATATATGGGGGCGTGGTTTTTTATATATGGGGGCCAGAAATGGCTGCTTGATCTTGCTGCTCTCACCCACAATGCTCCTAATAGCACACTCCACCATCCACAGCTGTGACAGATGGGCCGTACTAAGAATCCAGACCCCTGCCAGATGCTGAGGAACAACCCAGGACCATCTCAGACAGGACTGATGGACGGATACCTGTAAACACCGGGCCTGGACTGGGAGGTGCTAGGCCCCAATATGGCCGACTCCCCGGTGCCCTCGCCTAATTCCAATACAGACAGCCCCACACTGTCTGATATCAGCACTGATCTGAGGGTGCTCACCTCTACCACGGTCCCCAAATCAGACCTGGAAACACTGTCGGCAGATATCCATGCGCCTATCTGCTCGGAGGTGGCCACTGAGGACAGAGATGGCGTCCCAGGGGAGTCGCATACAGGCCCTGGAAACATCAACTCTGTACATCCAAACACACCAGGAGACCTGATGAGACAGGGGAACATGCTGCTAGCACTCAGGCGGCAAACGGAAGACCTGGATATCAGAAGCCACAGATCTAATATCAGAGTCAGAGGCTTACCTGAACTGCAAAGCCTCGAGAACATCACTAGCATTCTGGAGATTTTAGGCACGGACGCGCCCACCTGTCTTGAATTCGATAGGACACACTGGATGACCCAGCCAAGACTGGGTGACAATACCTCGCGAGACATAATTTGCTGCCTAAACTCATTCTCCACAAAAGAGAAGATAATGCAGAAACCCAGAGCCTCATGGCAATATCAAGGAGCAGAGATTACCTTATTCCAGGATCTCTCCCCCCTAACACACGGGGCGTCGAGACTTGTGACGCTCCAACTGCGGGAAGGGAATATCCCATACAAATGGGGATTCCGTTTTAGCCTACTGACCAGGCATCAAAATGACTGGGTACCTCTGCGCTGGATGGAAGAAGTCCCGACCTTCCTCCAACACGGAGGTCACAGATTGGATCCTAGGACCAGTCTCAAGAGGACCTGGACCACCACCACCCACAACGGCTCCCTCAGCACAGATAGGTAGGCTCCCTGGGGGTCCTAGACCCCGAAGACACCATGACCTGAACCTACCTCAGGAATAACTTAGGCCAACAGGACAAGTGGGCCCAGCTGTTTTGAATCAGCCCGACGAACTTTAACACCTTTGTGCCTGAGAAATCTGCTAATTTGCTAATTAGCCAAATAATTTTTGTATGTTATATGCCATCTAACATTTATGAGCGCAGCCTACCTAGATAGGATAGCTTACATCATTAAGTTAAGTCTTTCTCATATATATCAAGGGATTCTTATGAAAAACAAATAATGCTGGACTGCATTAATTAATGGGGTCCCCTCTGAATTTTGGTCTTTTACACCTTTTAGAAGGTCATCCAATTAAAGACTATAAACTATGAATTACAAACCTAATAGAATAAGCTTTAAGTGGTTATATAAAATATAAACAGTTGGACAAGAAATAGTAACAAATGGACCTGTATACAAAAATACATGCAAAAACATAATGCATGTATGTATTAAGATTACAGTCAAAAATATTCACAGACCCATAGTGTTAAATCCCCCCACCCCCTTAAAAAGGTAGAAAGCTTACCTTTTTTCCGGTGCTGCGCAGGTCTGCCAGCACTGGCCCCACCCCCGATCCACCTCCTTGGCTGAGATCATCAGAATTGATGATCTAAGCCTATCCAATGTTTTACCATAGGAAAGCATTGGATTGGCTGAGATCGTGAATTCTGATCATCTCAGACAAGGAGGAGGTGGGGCCGGGGCAGAGCCAAATGCTGCACTGGCCAATCAGCATCTCCTCATAGAGATGCATTGAATCAATGCATCTCTATGAGGCATGCTCAGTGTCTCCATGCAGAGCAACACTAACCCAGGAACACCTGTAGTGGTTGTCTTAGCACATTCCATCTAGTTGCTATGCTTGGGAAAGCAGAAGGACCACCTGTGGGAGATCTTTTCTGCTCTCCCTTGTTGGTCAAATTGTTGACAGAGTCTATGCTGAAGATTTGACTGAGAAGTCGGAGATAGACCTATTTTTAAATAGGTTTTTCTCCCAACCTATACTTTTCAAAGCAAATCTGCCATTATAATGTATAGATGACATTGTATGCTCTTTCAAAAGAACATAAGTGAAAGTACCCATGGCCCAGTAAAAAAAAACAAAAAAACAAGAATAAAAAATATACTACATTTTAAAAGTTTCCTTTGCTACTCTGTCTAGGCAGATCCTTCACACACACAGCTGAAACTTCTGTCCTATAAACCTCTTCACAGGAGATGTTTATGAGTAATTTATCCCTACGAGCAGTTCCACATATAAAATTGATGAAATTATTTTATAAACTTATACTGTAAACTCAAACATGCCTTTTTGAAGCATTCTATTTTATTCTCTCCTTAAGAGCTCTTAACCTTTGATATTGTCCTGTGGGTGCAACACTGAAACCATCAACATATCCATAAATGCATCACTAGTCTGTATTTTACCTATATATTTTAAATATGTATCTGTGAGCTGTTTTCCCTTCTGGACTCTAAATATGCGTGAATTGGTGAGACACCTTGTACCTCTGCACTCTAAATATATATCAATGAGCTGCTCTTTCACTGCTTAGTTCTAAACACACATTACTTGGAACTTTTGTCTTTTTTCAACCAAGTCTACTCAGTAACTTAGCTGTCTTTACCTCTATAGTCTAAATACATGCCACTTTGTTGTCATTCACCTCTGCAGTGTACACAAATGTCAACGAACAATCCTTCACTGCTATATTTTAAAATTCAAATAGTACTTGATTTCATCAAACATTTTCCATTTCTGCTGCTTCAGACCACTTTGAAACTTGTTTATGTAAATCCCCTGGAGTCACTGACAAACATCAATAGAAATTATTTACATGTTTTTTATTGGCTTGAGCGTTCCATATAAACTGTAAGGTGTTGTGTTACAATTTAATATGGTGACTAGGAAGATCAATCAAATGATGTAATTTGAGAAACATGTCACCGTGCTGGAGGGAAAAATAATATATTTTCATCCATATGGGACCTCTTGCTGTTAGAAATTGATACTTTAGGAGGAATTTACCCCACTGTTGCAGTGTAATTTAAGGCCTATTGGAATGGTCATGGATATCTCTCTAGCATATGTAATATAGCTGCCGTTTGCGTGTTCTCTCTCTCGTATGTAGGTTTGTTCAGCTTTTATGTTCAAATGCATATACAAATATTTATAAATTGCTACTTTTTCCATATATTTTCTTTGCATATTCATGTTTTAATGCTTCACTTCTGCACTGTATCTGATAAATAACACTTAATAGAAAAAAATACATATAAGAAGAGGTAGTCAATACAAAAATGTGAATTATAGAGAATATCAAAATATGCAAATATATCAAGTGCTGCTAGAGACAATTAGTGAGAAGCATTACGAGTGGCTAGCAACTTTAAGATGGTAAGTCCTGCTATTAGCCTGAAGTTGAGGAGCCCCAATAGTGGTCAGATGGTAAAGATCACTATTAATTGTCTGAAGGTAAGAAACACCACTAGCAGCTAGATGATGAAGGGAGCTCATGTCATAAAATGATTAGAAGGACTGCGTTATGATTGCAAGCAATCTTGTATCTGAAAGTGTACTGATTGTAGAGAATTGTATGTGGTGGCCACTGGTGTAGACATGAGCAGTGCCTCCATATCATTGTTGCACAACTCAAAGAAGGTGTACTGCTTGTAAGGGCAATTTGGCTTTGGAAACCCTTTTCTGGGTAGTTTCCCAAGTTATATCATAGATGTTGCATGACACATCCAGTACTATAATCTGCACAATTATATCAGTGCCAAAAACTCACCTTTATAAAAGGCAGAAGTGTGTGTAGCTGTCAGGAATGCTGGACAGTTGATGCCATGTTCCAAATGTGGCTTATAATCTGACAATCAGAACTTTTGTGAGTGATTCTCTACATCTGTTGATGATGCACATAGATACATATGTCAGTTTTCCTGAGAATCTTACAGGCATCAAATTTGCATGCTAAGAGAAGGGTTTTGAAAAGCCAACCTCCCCTCTCATCAGTGCTCTTTTATCGTACAGTCCTCTTAGGAGTGGTCTGGGTGCTGTGACTTAATTTCCTGTTCTGGAGGAGGTCGAGAAGTTGCTCCTGCTCTGGATTGAACAGAAGCAGCATGCAGGGGACTCAGTGACCAAGGCGATCATCTGCGAAAAAGCCAAGGCCTTGCACGCTGACCTCCTCAAACAACAGCCAGGAACGTCAGCAGATGCAGAAGGCTTCAAGGCCAGCAGGGGGTGGTTCAAAAGGTTCAAGACCAGATCTGGCATCCACAGTGTGGTCAGGCATGGAGAGGCTGCAAGTTCCGATGTTGCTGCAGCTGAGGAATTTGCTACGGAGTTCCTGGAGGTCATAGTTTCAGAGGGCTACCTTCCTCAGCAGGTCTTCAACTGTGATGAGACTGGACTCTTCTGGAAGAGGATGCCAACCGTACCTTCATCACAGAAGAGGAGACCTCATTGCTTAGCCACAAGCCAATAAAGGACCGTCTCACCCTCCTGTTCTGCGACAATGCCAGTGGAGACCTTAAGATCAAGCCCCTGCTTGTCTACCATTCAGAGAACTCACGGGCCTTCAAGAAACACAAGGTGAACAAGGAGCAGTTGAGCGTTTTGTGGCAGTCTAACCCAAAGGCTTGGGTCACACACCTCTTGTTTGTGAAGTGGGTCAATGCGGTTTTTGGTCCTACAGTGAAGAAGTACCTTGTGGACAATAACCTGCCATTCAAGGCCATGCTGCTCATGGACAATGCTCCTGCCCATCCTCCAAGCCTCGAGGAAGACTTGCTGGAGGTCTTTAATTTCATCAAGGTCATGTTCCTTCCACCTAACACCACCTCACTACTCGAGCCAATGGACCAGCAGGTCATCTCCAATTTTAAAAACCTGTACACAAGGGAGCTTTTCCGGCGATGCTTTGAGACAGATCGCTCAAGTCTCACCCTCCATGAATTTTGGAGAGAGCATTTTGACATTGTGAGCTCTCTGTAGATTATCACCATTGCCTGGCCAGACAAACCTAAATTCTGCTTGGCACAACCTGTGGCCAGACTGTGTTGTGAAACCTGCCTCCAGTGCTTCTGCACCTGCACCAGAGTCAACAGTGTTGGAGGAAATTGTTTCCTTGGGGAGGACCATGGGCCTGGAGGTGACTGAGGAGGATGTCTACGAGCTGGTGGAGGAACATGACCGGTGGAATTGCAGAAGGAGTCAATGGAGGAGCAGATTGCATTTGAGGAGGAGGAGGAAATGAGTGAGGAACAGCTCTCTTCCATGGAACTCAAGGAGGCATGCCATATGTGGGTAAACCTACAGACTTTTGTACAGCAGCACCACCCAGATAAAGCTCTAGCCCACAGACTTGTGAGCAGTTTTGACACAGACATCATGTCCCCTTTCTGAGGGATGCTTAAAAGGCGCCAGAGGCAGCAGACAATGGAAAGGTTCCTACAAAAACAGCCTAGACATGAAGAAGAACCTGCTTGTATTAATACTGCCCAATTGCCCTCGTCCTCCTCATCTTCCAAAAAGTGTTGAAACTGTTTTGAAATTTTCCATGTTTTCCCTGTTGACGTGTGATTTATGTACAGTTGAAGTATACTGTACCATGTTACCAACAGTCTGCCATGTTTTAAAAGTTGATGTGTGATGTTTTAAAACATAAAGTTGGATGTTTGAAATTGTATTGCTTGATTAATCATGTCGCTGTACAGTATTTATGCCTTTAAAGCGCACTTTATAAAGAGTTTTGAACAGATAAAATACTTTATTTGACTTTTTTCTCACCTCCGGAATGCATTAATTGGCTTTCAATGCATTCCTATGGGAAACCGTGTTTCGGTTTACAGATTTTTCGCAATACGAAACGCCCCGGAGAACGCATTAAATTCGTAAACCGAGGTCCCACTGTATTTCATAATATATAAGCAAAATTAAGCAGTTCTTTTTATTTATGATATAACTAAGATATGTAAATAGGAAATGACTGGCGCATCCTGCTTGCCAAAATCCTTTCATATGTTGTCAATTGGAGAAAATTGATTGCTGAAATGGACTTTCCATTTAGTTGGCTTTTGTGTATACATACAGAGAAAGTAAACAGATGCTGCTTCAAATGCATCCTTTCCTTGAATTCATCATTAGTTAATTTTTCCTTTTTGAGAAAGCTACTTGCAAAATATTGGAAAATCTTTGCAGGTACCGTGTAACAGACAGAATTAAAAGTATGATATTATGTACAATTTATCTTTTAGTCTGTGTGATTATTTGACTAATTTCTCCTGCCTTACTTAACATATATTTAGAAACACAGGACAATTTTATGTGTTTTCCAATATTGTTTTAGTAAATAAAGCATTGTCAGTTCACAGGTTTTGTTTTTAAATTAATCCTTTTATCCCCCTATTTCCCTTTATTTTATACAATTTTTTAATATACCTTTCTAGTTATTCGTAAGATAAATTAAGGGCTACTTTTTATGGGAAATGTGTACTTTGTAAATCTGTGGCAATGGTGGACTTTAATTCAAGAATTTTGCTAATACATGACATAGAGTCAGAATGTTTTCAAAGACACGGAAGATTATATATTATGCTTTTCTTTACAAGCTCCCCAGCCATAGTTTCTGGTACCCAATTCTATGATCAAATCTGGTTTAAAACTGAAACCAACCTCTACTGGGGAAGAAAGGATCACGGGTACTTGGTTCCGGCATTTAAGAATTTTGGTGCATAGAGAACATCTTTTGGTGCAAAAAGACAATTGGAATATACTTTTCTAATATTAGTTTGGGCCTTATCAAAGACCGTTAATGCATTAGCAAAAGTGCTGAGTTCTTTAATAAACCCATCACCATATAATAAGCCTTTGAATTCCTTTCCTGCTTCTGTAATTAAAAAGTTTACAAATCTTTCTTCTATTTTAAGTGAAATATGTCTCTCAATAGTTGGCATTCTCTGCATGACAAATAGAAACCAATGTTTAAGGATAGAACGATCAATGACTTTTTTTGCCCAAAATGCATTTCTCTACCAATTCAGACAAGCCCATAATACATATTATAAATCCTTTATCTGTTTCCAACCTTGCTTATAGATTAATTGGCCAACTTTCAGATCTATCTATGAGTCGCACATACATTTTCCGGTACTGTAGGTCGTGGGCATTCCTCTCTTGTTTACTTCTGACCATCTCATCTAAAGGGTAGCGAAACCTGTGTTTGAGATATTTAGGGAAATGATCATTTGGAAACCAATCTGGTGGAGGTCATATGGATTAAGTAATTGTTCACCCTGTGCGTCTTCCATCTCATCTGGGACAGATTAATTAATAATAGCAGGCATGGAAGTGTGCTGTGAATCAGGGTCAGAATGAGAGTGATATAATTCAGGCACATATCAGAATCAAAATGTAATAAAACCTCATCCTGTCTGTACAGCTCTTGATGTGTGTTTTAGCACACCCATCGGGTCATGTAATCTACCCAAAAGGCATGGAAAAAAAATCTTGACATTATTTGAGTACAATATGAACTAATATTCACTGTAGAAGCAGAATCCTTAGACCAATAATGATCAGTATTTTGTGAAGTAGGATGGAAAGGTCCTTACGAGTATATTGTGTCTACTGATAATGCATTAGCCCACTGAGCTATCTCACAAGATGAACAAGAATGCTCCATAGAATCAGGATTAAAAAAAATAGGTTCTAGAAGAGCTGCCCATATGTATAAAATACAATAGAAGTCGAAAAATTATATATAAATTAATGAAGAAATAGAAATAAATCCAGTTAACACACATAATTAAAAGAATGATTTAATTTATAGAAGCAATACTTATCTGTTCCATAGAGAAGCAGCAAAGAAAGCAGAATGTGAAACGTTGAGGTCACTCTTTATAAACACGTGATGTGATGTGATTGGTTATATCATTTTATGATTTTTTTTATCAAATTTTTTAAATTTGTTTATTAATTATCTTAATTGCTGCTATTGTACAGTAAAGAAAGAGAATATCAAAATAGGAGCCTTGTAATAAAATTGAAGTTCCATTTCAGTTCCTAAGCTAATTTACAATGAGTTCATTAGTCAAAAGAATCCTACAGAAGGTAAATCTAAGGAGACAGAGGAGAGGAAAATACCAGTGCCCAGATACTCATGTGCCCAGATATTGAGATCTCATGCAAGGAAGACAAGATACTAACTAAAAAAAAAGGCAAGTGGCAGGGTGGAGAGTATGCCAAAGTTACTCTATAGGCACCCAGACCACTTCAGCTCAATGAAGTAGTTGGGTTGCCATGTCATCTCAATGAAGTGGTTTGATTGCCATGTCATCTCAATGAAGTGGTTTGGACATGCCATGCCCCTGCAAGTGAAAATATTGCTGTTCAGCAGGAAAGTCTATGATAGAACTGTTACTCTTGCTATAAAAATTTTTGATGTCAAGAAACAGTATAAGCAAATCATGCGACTTACTTTAATTCTCACAATTCCTGTACGTGCAAGCATTTCATACTTAGGGCACTGTGTAATTAATGCAGAAGAAGAGTGCCTTGCCTCATATAGCATGTATGCATGTGTATGTGTGAGCATACATGCACATTTTGGAAGAATGCTAGTGCCTGCATTCACAGTACATTCATAAAAATAACAGTTCACATTGAAATGGGTTTAGATCGACAGCCTAAGTACCATGACTATTACATGAAGTTGAAGTGGTTATAGTGCTATTACACTGCAGGTGCCACCCCTATTGTTATAATAAAATAGCCCATATCTATATAGATATAGGTATAAAAAATATACTACGCCTATTGACTGTGTTTGACTGCTTTAATTTTATTGCATTCACTTCTGAATAAATATATATTTTAACTATTTTTATATCGACTTGCAGGGGAAAGATACACACAATATATATATATATATATATATATATATATATATATATACACACACATATACATATACACACATTCAACTCCAGGAAAGCAGAGAGCTAGCATCAGTTGTAAGTGGAGCGCCCATCTGATTGGCAGTCTGAGCCAGCAGCCTGTCTATCCTTGGCAGCAGAAACAATATACTGTTGGTAATCAGACATTATAAAATGTAGGAGGGAATATAAAAATCAGACACAAAAAATGGAAATAAAAATACGTGCAAACTTTTATTGTCTCTTTGCCTCTGTCGCTCCACGAAACCAAAGTCGTATATAAGAAAAATGTGACATACTAATGGGAAGTAATTTTCCCAAGGATGTTTTTGTGCCTTGAAGTGCCTTCAACATACAATGCTTTGAGAACTTTGCGAGTATATATGCATCGGAGCGGTTATTCTACATTGAACTTCCCAATTTGTGCATGATATGACTTTTATAATGCTATTAAAAGCATCTCATGAAAAGTGCTTTAGCAAACAATGATACATGGTCTTTCAAGGAGTATGGATAGAAAAGAAAACATCTCTTGTAAAGTCACTTTGAAATTGTGCCTGAGCATTTGAAAGCTTTCAGTTTATTAAAGGGAAACTCCAGTGCCAGGAAAACAATCTGTTTTCCTGGCACTGCAGGTCCCCTCTCCCTCCCACCCCCCAATCCTCAATTGCTGAAGGGGTGAAAACCCCTTCAGTAACTTACCTGAGGCAGCGACGATGTCCCTCGTCACTGCTTCCTCCTCTGCCGCCGCTCCTCCTATGCATTGCATCGGCCGGTGGGGGCGACTGATCCCGCCCACCAGCGAGACCTAATGCCGCGTGTGCTAGAAACCAGGAAGTGCCCTCTAGTGGCTGTCTATTAGACAGCCACTAGAGGTGGAGTTAACCCTGCAATGCAATGTTAACCCTGCAATGTTTATAAAAAACTGCAATA